TACCCAGCAAAAGTGTTGTTTAGCTACCAGTTTGCTCACAGATGGTGTGTGCGTGTGTGTGGGGGGGAGGGGGATTGTTGTGCAGGGCAAAAATATAAACAAGACAAATTCTTTATTAAAATAGAAATGTGAAGTATTGTGCAAGCTTACCTGATTAGATGTATTGACAGTAAAAGGATACAGGTCCTTCAGGTAAATCCTTGGCATGTTGTCCAGAAGCATGCCATATAGGGGCATGTACAGACTTGCTATCTGGGCCTGCTTTCTCTAGGTGAAAAAGTAGCCAAAAGAAATGATTCAAATAAAAATCAATAGGCTTGTAGGTTTGATATGCATTTAATGCAGTGAGCCATTAAATGGTGTTTACGGAAGGGAGAAAGGAAGATCACTTACTGGTTCTCTGTATCGATCATCAAATGAATGCTTAGCCATTAGGTTTTTTAGGACAGCTAAAGCTAAGTGTCTGATGTCTTGATCTTCCTGCAGGGCAAAGCCAACTTCTCGGAGTAGAATTCCAATTAAGAAGTGTTTGCGGCAAAATTCATTTGTAACTGAATATTCAGGCATATCTTTGAAAGGAAAGAAAAGGAATCATGCCATTGAAAATCAAATAATCACTCCATAATTGAGACAGATATATCAAACAACTTTTACCAACCCCTCCCACCACTAGGAGGGATTCAGTAATACAGTCTTGCTAAGAGATGAGACGTGTTGTATCTTTAAGGAGAAGTCAGTAAGATACGGAATATTCTGTGTACACAAACACAAGTACAAATACAACCTAACACACATCAAATGTTAAATTCCATAAAAATGGCATGTTTACAGTATTACAGGAGTTGAGAGGAGAAAAACATATTTTGTGTCTGGAAAAATCTGGAAATGTTACCAGAAGGAATATGTTGAGATGGGCCTTTGAGGATGCTTAAGGTTTGGAAGTGCAGGTATTTGTGGGAGTAGACGGAGGCAGTGGAGAGAGGACAGGAGGTTGGGAGAAGAAAGGATATAATTTTTGATGGCACAAAATTCTGAAAGCATAGGTATGTGGCAGTCAGAACATCATCCAAAAGATGTGTGGTGAGAATTGAGGCTTGAGAGATAAGGTAGACTAGATGTTCGAGAAATTTAACTACAACACCCTTAGCTGGCGTTCAGGTCCCTCTGCCATTTGCATTTAATTCTGTATGAGATGTTAAGATCTCTGAGATCAGTGGCCTGATTAGATGTGTGCTTTACTGTCCTATTAATATGGTGGCAGTATGCAAACGAATTACACTGCAGGGAGATGTGGGGTGAGGGACACAGTACAGGAGGCTGCAGAATTGAGGGAGGAAGAGGACAAGTGAAGACATGGTGTCTGGGCTGGGGTAGTAGGAACTGAGTATAGAAGTAAAATCCCCAGGACAAGTTGGCTGAAAGATGTGAGGGAAGCCAAAGGGGGCTGCAAAATTTTGAACCATAAGTATGGAGCAAAGAAGATTAAAGTGTCCAGTAGTAATGGATTATTCAGAATTGTACAATGTGCTTCATAAATGCAACTATTAACAGTAGTACTAGCACCTACAAGAAAACATAAGAGAAATGCTCTTTGACATTGATAGTGGCAATAAATTTATAAATACGACCCCAAAAGCACAAGCAACAAAAGCAAAAATCAAGTGGGTCTGCATCAAACTAAAAAGTTTCTAGACAGTAAATGGAACAATTAACAAGGTGAAAAGGCAACCTGTAGATTGAGAGAAAATACTTGCAAACCATATATCCGGCAGGGAGCTCATACCCCCAATACATGAGGAACTCAACAGCAAAGAAAAAAAAGAAAGGACTCAAATAGACATTTTTTCCAAAGAGGTCATACGAATGGGTATTAGGTATATGAAAAAGTGCTCAGCATCACTAATAATCAGAGAGATGCAAATCATTATCATGATGAGCTGTCATCTCATACCTGTTAGGACAACTATTATCAGGAAGTCAAATGACAGCAAGTGTTGGCCAGGGTGGAGGAAAGGGAGCTCTTGTACACTGTTGGTGGGATTGTGAACTTGACAAAGCCATTATGGAAAGTACTATGGTGGGTCTTCAAAAAACTGAAAATAGAACTACCATAGGATCGAGCAATCCAACTTCTGGGTATGTGTCTATCGAAATTGAAATCAGTATCTCAGAGAGATCTCTGCACTCCCCTACTTTTTGCAGCATGGTTTACAATAGCTGAGATACGTGTCCATCCACAGAGGAATGGATAAAGAGAATGTGATAGATACGTATAATGAAATTTTCAGCCATAAGAAAAGAAGGAAATCCTACTGTTTGAAACTGCATGGATAAACCTGGAGGACGCTATACTAAGTGAAATAAGCCAAACACAGAAAGACAAATTCTGCATGATCTCAGTTAATACGTAAAATCTAAAGAAGTTGAACTCATAGAAATAGTAGAAAGGTAGTTGCCAGGGTCTGGCGGATGGGAGAAGTGGAGGAATTTGGGTCAAAGAGTACCGACTGTCAGTGATAAGATGGAAAAAATTATAAAGATCAAATGTACAACATGGTAACTACAGTTAATAATGTTTGTATACTTGAAATACGCTAAGAGTAGATCTTAATTGTTCTTACCACACAGATACAAAAAGAGTAATTATACGAGGTGATGATATGTTAGTTAGCTTGACTGTGGTAATCACTTTGCAGTGTATGTGTGTATCAAAACATGCTGTACAACTTATACAGAAGGTACCTGACTTACAATGATTCAACTTAAAATTTTTTTGACTTTATGATGCATTTATCAGAATATTAAATGCATTTTCGACTTACGATGAATGGGTTTATTGGGATGTAACCCCATCGGAAGTTGAGGAGCATTGTATAATTTTTATTTGTCAGCTATATCTCAGTAAAGTTGGGGAAAAACAGTAGACTAGCACACATGTATAGAACACATACATTGTGCCAGCTCTAGGCTAAGCATTTTACATGCATTATCCCATTTAATCCTCAGTACAACCCATTAGGTGGTTATTAGTATAAGAAACTACTGGAATATTCCAGTTCATAACTGACCAATAGCAAATTAAACATATTGACTTTTTCAGTCCATGAAGACTGCACTGAATGTGGAAGTTCAGGAAACTAAAAATCATTGGGCTTCAGGTTAAGTACATTTCTCAGTGGAATAATAATATTAAATGGCTATTGCTTTGGGAAATTAAAGAAAATTTCAACCTCTGGAGAATATAATATGAAAGAATTGAAGTTAGGGAATCATTAAATTATCCATGACAAGAGGAAAGTTCAATCAACTTTTGAATATTTTGACTACATGATATTAAATATATGGCTATTTATTAGCACTTGGAAGTTGGAATGTTGTAGTATCTACACTCATTAATATTAAGGATGCTATGGCTATTGATGTTTAGCTAACATAATATAAAATATCACCATTTACCTGATGCATGAAACTCTTGAGTTGATTCCGAAGGTGTCAAAGGATCTAATATATGTAAATAAACAAAAAGTTCACATTTAATATAAATAAAGTTCATATATATATATATACTCAGACACACACATATACTCATTAACTATGTGCAATTTATACTGAAAAATTAAAATATATTGTTTTAAAATGTAAGTGAATCTCAATATTGCTGGTTTTCAAAGAAAATACTTTAGATTATTTATTTGATTTCCTAAAAAAAGAATGTCATAAATTTATTTTAATTCTTAGTCTTCTACTTGAGCACCTATTATTCTATCAGAAATCTGCCTGGTATGAAACATATATTTTTATGTTCACTGTTTATAGTATCAGATTTACAAAGAGACTAAAACAATTGAAATCAAAATAACCTATAATAAAGGTTTGGTTCTCTTGAGTATTCTAGCCAGTTTGGCTTACCCAATAATAACTTGGCATTAGTTTATAAAACAAAAACAAATACAAAAAAACCCCAAAGTCTAAAAATGTTATTGTCCAAAATAACATTTCTACCCTTTTTTCTATAAAGGCATTAGATAAAATGTGTTTCATAAGTTAGAAAAGAATGGAATAATGTATGTAGCTTACATTTAAGATTAAAGTGGCAAAACCTTCATAGTCTTGATCATGTGTTTTACTCTTTTTTTTTCCCTCCAAAATATCAGTGGAAGCTATAATAGCTAGAAGGAGGCTCTTTACCCTCTTCGTTTCTGCTTTCCATGAATATCAAAACTGTGCCCTAGTTCATTCACTGCTGAGAAGTAAAATATTTCAAGTTCCTAAATTATTTTAGTATTTTCTTTGCATCTTGATGTTTGATTCATTTCTGATGTCTAGATGGGTGATGTATATATTTTTTCACAAAACTAATAAATCAATATATTTCCTATATATTATTTATTCCATAGAAAGTAGAGTCACGAAAACGTGAAGCTGCGTTCTTACCTGCATCCCAACCTCTGCATCTCTCTGGCCTAGAGGTAGCAAGTATTTACAGTGTTGTTCTCCCTCCCTTTCTTCCTCTCTTGCATCCTTCCTTCCCTCCATCCCTCCCTCTCTCTCTTCCTCTTCTCCTTCCCTTCCTTCCTTCCTTCCTCGGCATCAATTTTCTTTGTAAAAACTCATTTCATTTTGAGGAACTGCATTTTAAATAATTATACACATTGAATTTATACTCACAAAGGGTAACTTTTTCTCCCTGTAATTTTGTGTCTCAAAATCAAAGGAAAGTGGTCTTTTGGAGCCAGTTAGGTGAAAAACAGCATAGCTCAAGGTTAAAATTCTTTGATTTACAACCAACGGTTTTATAATTTTGTTGGCCTTCTCTTTAACCAAAAAAAAAAAAAAAAACCAGACAAAAATTGAGAAATAGAGCATATTTATCATCACGTGCCAACAGCCTCTCTTGCATCTTAATCAGATTACCTGGGTCTGAAACCCATGTGATAACTTCAGACAAAACTGCCACCGAGGAAACAGAATATAACAAACAAAAAGGAGAAACAAACAGAAGTGTGTAGACGAAAATTCTGGGAATTATTACCTGGGATGTTTGCAGATCTTATGGGGAGACACAAAGGAATAAAATGTTCGTGCTGACATACTTCTTGAAGAAAATCAAATTTATACTGGCATAAGGTCTGAAAAAGAGGCAAATTAAATGACTATTATTTACATCCCAGGAAAATTAATACAAACCAAAAAAAATCTGCACTTGAATCTTATCTCTAAAAAGAGGTAGTTACTTTTGTGTGACCACGAGGTCATTGTTAAGATGAAAGGATTTTGTTTCCTCCCAAGTGGTGCAGGTAGTTAGGCTCCTATTTTCAGAGACTGGTCAAGGGCTCCTTATGAAATGATCCCATTTGTAAGCTACATTGAGTGTTTACGAGATAAGAATCTTCTCATTACCTTTTTAGCTACTTTTGCCTTATGTTGTGATACAAATATTATGAGAAAAATCCTGATGCACCACATGAACAGAGCTCTCTCGAAAACTATACTCAGATCGTAAAACGGACCATACTAATCAGCTCCTACGATCCAGAGCTAAGGAAGACAATGATTCATATCACCTAAAATTAGATTGAATCTGTATGCCACTTGCTCTTAGAGTACATTATTAATTCTACTTCCTCCCCGCCCATGCAAACAGGTCTGTCTTTTCAATAATGTCTGGATAAGTGGAGTCCAGACATGGTGTTAAGGCTACTGTAACACGTGTCGTGAACAACCACATTAGTAGGAGCAATTTGCATTGCTAATTCATAACTGCTCTGTATTCACTCTCATGCATGCTCAATAATCATTAAGACAACGATTGTCTTCATTACGTTTACTAATATTAACTCACAAAATAAAATATATTCCATTTACTCAGATATTTTAGAACTGCATTTTGTGGCAACTTTAATCAATAATTTAAAATTCTGCCATTTCAAACAAGGATGTTTTTGATTTAATTCTTTGTACATCATAGTGAACAGGAACATAATTAAATTATAGGTTAATTATTATTAATCGAGCACATTCTGTTTGGCCTTTGAAAAAATGTATAATTTAGGCCTACTGCAATTATATCTAAATGGATATTCTGCAAATTTCATGTTCTTCAGCTGTTTCTTCAATGTTATTTACTCCCGATATCCTTCTAATAAACTTTCTTTTGCTCGAATCCAAGTCAGTTTCTGTTGCTTGCAACCCCAAGAAACTTTACTGATACAGCTTTCATAATCTGGCCCATTTCCAGTCTTAGATCTCCTCAGCATATGCCATACTATAGCTCAGTGGTTCTCAAATTTGAGTGTGTAAGAGTCACCCAAAAGTCCTGTTAAATTAGATTTGGGGGCCACACCAGTGGTGGCTCAGCTTCCAGGTGGTGCTACCTTGCTGGCCTAAAAAGCATACCTTGAGAACCACTGCTGTAAAGTTTCCTCTGGTCTCCCCAACACATACCCCTAGGTGGGTGGGGTGATCAACTGTCCCATTCTGCCGAGAATAGAGGGTTTCCAAGAAGTGGGACTTTGAGTGCTAAAACCAAGACATTCTAGAGAAAATTGGGCTATAAGAATTATAACTCGTGGTATAAGTGTTTTAAAAGTCTCTAAAATATGTTTAAGCATTTGCCCACATATGGCAACTAATTTAAATACTAGATATAATACACAAACCAGAAAGCTAAAAACCTATAAGCTAAACAGAGGCTGAAAAGAGCCACTCCCTTCACCACCCTCAGGAAACAGAAATGAAATGGGACACTTTGATTCCACTTGTTCCCCATTAAGGAAGGACTTAGGAGGAGATGTACTCTGCACATGAACCAGTAAAAGGCTGACTCTTCTTGGCATAGGAATTATTTTCTGATAGAGAATTAATGCTTTAGGCGGATATGCACAGAGACCAGTTTATTTATTTACAATGCCATAGTTTACAAAACTCACTCCTGGAACATGGTTTTTACCTTGAGGTCACCAGAGGAGAACATGCTGATGTAATTGTTAACCATCTTAAACACAAATCCTCGGTCCATAAATGTAAAGCAGCGCTAAAAAAGAGAAAATTCTAAACTCAAACATTTTTACTTGAAGAATCATTAAAGATTTTGGAAAAGATGATTAAACATATTGAAGTACAATAACATTTAACTAAACTTGTAGTATAATACATGTTTTAAAAATCTCTAAAATGTGTTTAAGCATTCGTCCACATATGGCAACTAATGTAAATACTAGATATAATACACAAACCAGAAAGTTGAAAACCTATATTTATCAATTTTATAAAACATCACTTGGAGTTTTGCAATGAAATATTTAGCCCTTTTATTTTTGTGTGGAAAGCTATAGCTTTTAGTTGTTTATTTTTTTAATCACTTACATTTTATTATTGTTTTAGCAATTCTATTTCGTGATTGCTAGGATGGAGAGTCTCTGCTATGCAGTACTGGGTAGGAGTGGGCAGGGGTGGTAAAGATGGGTCGGGAAAGCCCTTTAAATCTCACTGGCTCCTTTCAACAAAGTAGCTCTTTCAGGAAGCTTGAATTTGAAGAGAAAAGGCAGGACATGCTAAGATTTCTATCAGTGAGCTGCTCACCATCTGTCTTTTGTCATCAAATTCTCTTTATTGCAATAAGGAGAGTCTTTTTTTTTTTTAGAGGGCTGGCCTTGCTTTTTTTTATTAAAAAGAATTTGTTTTTATTGTAACATATTTGATTGTACATATCTGTTGGGTACAGAGTTGAATATCAATACCTGTGTGCAATATGTGATGCTCAAATCAGGATAATTAGTATATTCAATAATATATAATGTAATCGTTTTTCATGGCCCTTTACTAATTCCTCCCTTACCCCCACTCCCCTTTTCCCACCTCTGGTAACCTCAGTTCTGTTCTCTTCTTTTGAAAGTTCAGCGTATTATTGTGATTGTTGTATTTTTCTTCCTTTCTTTTTTTATTTGTTTATTTTTTTAGCTCCCACTTGAGTTGGGGCATGGTGGTACTTTCCCACCTCTGGTAACCTCAGTTCTGTTCTCTTCTTTTGAAAGTTCAGCGTATTATTGTGATTGTTGTATTTTCCTTCCTTTCTTTTTTTATTTGTTTATTTTTTTAGCTCCCACTTGAGTTGGGGCATGGTGGTNCTTTCCCACCTCTGGTAACCTCAGTTCTGTTCTCTTCTTTTGAAAGTTCAGCGTATTATTGTGATTGTTGTATTTTCCTTCCTTTCTTTTTTTATTTGTTTATTTTTTTAGCTCCCACTTGAGTTGGGGCATGGTGGTATTTCCCTTTCTGTGCCTGGCTTATTTCACTTATGTTTTTTCTCGAAGTTCATCTCTGTTGCTGCAAAGGGCAGTATTTCATTATTCTTTTATGGCAGATAGTATTACATTCTGTAAATATACCACATTTTCCTTATTCAATTGAAGGAGAGTCTTAAACAGTAGGTAGATTTGGAGGAGCATTTGTTCTCTCTCCAAAAGACTGATGGCCATGTAACCAGTAACTGAGCTATAGTGGCCAAAGACTGCACTGGAAAAGTGTGAAGTAGGAGGCAGAGTCCACATTTTCTGATGCAGTGTCTTTGGGAGGCACCATAGCAGGCTGCCACATGGAGCTCATCACTGGGTATGTGAGTTTCATTCTATCCGTCCACACGTGTGTGAGTACACACACTACTTGGGAAAATTTTGCAGCTGCTGCACCACACGGTGCAGAGTGCTTCTTTTTGGTCCAAAGAGTCCAGAAGAGTCATTTACAATGGTTTTGCATTTCTTGGATCATTCCTCAATTTTACACAAAACTCTTTTCTCAGAAAGGACTAGACATAAAATCTTGCTACAGGTGGTATACCAAATGGAAAGTCTACCACTGAAATATACCTGTGCATAAACAAGAGCTATTTTCTCTAATGATCTTCTTCCAATTGTTAGGTCATTTATATTTTTGTGTTCTTTTTCTTTTAATTTTTCTTTACTTTTTTTCTGAGTTTTTAAAATGTGCTTATTCAGTGCTAACATAGTTACTACATTACTATGGACTCTTTATTTCATTTTTAAGACTAATTTTAGTTTCTTCAATAACTCTTCATTCAGTAAAAAGTAAATGGCTCCTGGGTCCTATTTCTCCATAGAATAGTGGGAGAGGTAGAAATCACAGCATAACTGTAGGCTTAAAAGACAAAGCAACATAAGGGGAGGGGAGAGGAAAAGAGGGGCTTTTGTGCCTTCCACACTGTGCTGGCTGCCAGATGTGTGTCCCATCCTCCCAGCCTCTCCATCTGCAGGAGAAGTCCAAAACTGGCCACCCTCGAAATATCCCCAGTGTGAAGCCTCTCCAGTAGACCTCTGCTGTCTCCTTTTTGCTGGGAATGGGCTCTGGTATCACCTTGCAGAGAGAAGAAGACCACCCAGCACATCTGTGGGCTCTAGAAATTTTGCAAGGAAGAGCAGGATAAAAAGGAGCCCTGGGAAGTCTTCAGCAAAGAGGCAATGGTCCTTTGCCTCCATTGAGGAGGGGCTGGTGAGTCCTGTCGTGGGACCAGTCCAGAGTAAGGATGGCACTCGCCACATCCCAGGGGCTGTGGTGGTTCCTCTGCAGATCAGACCTGAGAACTCTTGAAGGAAGCTTGTCTCTAGCACCCATGAATGGGGATGACGGAGAGAAGGCTGTGCTGGGGAGCTAGGAAAGCCAACTTGGGGTTTCTTAAATTTGAAAAAAACCCTTCTATGTGGTAAGCCTGTCATTATCTTTTCAAGGGGCAGTGAGAGTGAAAGTGCATCATTCTTAGAATGCAAAATCAGCAGGGTCAGCCCTCTTCCCCAAAGAAGCCCTCCCGCAGGTCAAGCTTCATCAAGTGCATCACTCCTGTCATTGGTCACGTGTGTTTGGTCCATCCCATCATCTTCTTGACTCCAGCTGCACAGACTTTCCTGCCCATTGCTGAGGGCTGGAGAGGCCTCTTTTGTTTTAGCATAACATGTATTGATCTTTTATATTAATAGAAAATAAAATATAGCAGGCTTTGGTAAACTATGACCCATAAGCTAAACTGGCCCACCCCATGGTTTTTGTAAATAAATTTTTATTGTAATACAGTCACACACAATGGTTCACATATGTCTACGGTGAATTTTCTGTGGATGTTCTTGTACTACAGTAGCAGAGTTTAATAGCCGCGACAGAGACTACATGGTTTGAAAAACTGAAAATATTTGGCATTTGGCTCTATAGAAAAGGTTTGCAGACTCCTGATTTAGAGGATAACATACTATATTAAACTTTTTCTCAGTTTTGTTTAATGAACTAAAAGCCAAATATTCTGAATTGCAAGCAAAAATATTGTGTAATGGAAAA